CATTAGCACTGTTCTTTTAGGACAGCAGTAGCCAACTTTTATCAGAGATATGATACAAGATATGATTAACCCACTCCCTTTCCCAAGTGCCATTTCAATCCCCTGCCAAATCTGCTGCTCTGCTTTCTCCCCTGCCCTATCTCCCTTCTGCTTCCTGCCTTGTGCTGCCAGCCCAATCTGCTCTCTACTTCCTGCTCTAGTTGCTACTGTGCCATCTGTCCCACCACTGATCTGTTGAATGCCACCCACGAAGGCAGACTTTGCCACTTGTGGCACACATGCCATAGGTTGACCACCCCCTGCTTTAGGAATGGGTTTGAGTCAATTGTCGTAGGCCCTGCAATACTCATTGTAAAGGGGAACTGCTATACTCCCCAAACATATTAAGAGATAGCTGGGAACATGGATTCTCCACAGCTACATTCTGACTAGCTGTCTGCCATTAATGGCATACTGTTACACACTAGCTTCTAACAGTAAACTGCTGGGCCTTCAACACAAATACAAAAACACTCTGCATCATTCTGATATATGAGGCTGAAGAGGAACAGCTGATTGGAATGAGCTCCTGATGGGAATGAGCTAACAAAGGGATGAGGGAAATAAAGATAACAGCTTTACCCTAAGGTACCAGGCAGCCATTTCAGAATCAGTCTGAGGATCTTTGGGCCCCTCTAGATGTTCAGGTAAAGGTCTGATAGGATCTGATATGCAATCCACACATGCTTCCTGCCACACCACATGTGCATGGCATGAGGCATGACTGGGATCAAGAATCAGATCCTATCGCACCTTACTGCTGGTGCAGGGGCAGCCTGGAATTGCGATACAACAAAATGCAATCCCAGACTCCCCTCTGCACAGGCTCCCACTGCAGCAAGCCCTGAAGCTGAGGAGGCTCGCAGAGGGGTTAGTGTGTGGAACACTGACCCTAGCTAGAAGCCTCATCAGCAAATGAGGCTTCCAGCCAGGGCATCAATGGAACACTGGCCCCACTGCGAGGCTCATCAGATGTGGGTGGTGCACCTCTGTGGCTGGGAGCCCCTCAGTTGATGAGGCTTGAAGCCATAGGGGAGCACTTGGCCACATATTCAATTAATGGTGTGATAAGAAGAGCCACATAATTATTCCACACATTCTGTTGAATTCCACAACTGTCACAGACAGCTGACTGTGGCAGAAAGAGATCCTGGAGTCATTATTGAGTCCAACATGAACATGGGCCGACAATGCGAGAACATGGTCAGTAAGGCTAACTGTACCTTGTCCTGCATCCACAGATGCATCACAAGCAGGGCCAAGGAGGTGATCCTCCCCCTTTATTTGACACTGATCAGGCCGCAGCTGGAGTACTGCATCCAGTTCTAGGCACCGCACTTCAGGAGGGATGTGGACAGCATTGAGAGGGTCCAAAGCAGGGCCACTCATATGATCCGGGGACAGCAGGGCAGATCCTATGAGGAGAGGCTACAGGACCTTAACCTGTTCAGCCTTCGCAAGAGAAGGCTGAGGGGGGACCTGGTGCCCGTCTATAAACTTACTAGGGGGGACCAGCGGGGTTTGGGAGAGACCTTGTTCCCCCAAGAGCCTCCCGGAATAAAAAGGAATAACGGCCATAAGTCACTAGAGAGTAGGTTTAGACTAGACATCCGAAGGCATTACTTCAGAGTCAGGGCAGCTAGGATCTGGAACTAACTTCCAAGGGAAGTGGTGATGGCTCCTACCCTGGGGGTCTTTAAGAGGAGGCTCGACGTTTACTTGGCTGGGGTCATTTGAGCCCAGTTTTCCCTCCCGCCCAGGGTAGGGGGTCAGACTAGAAGATCTACAAGGTCCCTTCCGACCCTACATCTATGAATTTATGAAACTGTGGCTTATGCTTGTTTTATCATGCCATTAATTGACTGAACGCATAGCTACGTCACAACTTAAGGCATGATTAACTGATTAATCATGCTTTAAGTGTAATGTGTAGACAGGGCCCTTCAGTCACTTTTAACTTACTTTCTGGTGTAAAAGTTGTACGGAGAGCAATTTCTCAGTATTTCAAATTTTGGGTCCATTCAGAAGGTAATTTGTATATGAGTCAAGCTGAGCTCAATGCAGGGTCAGGGTCTTCATGTTTATAAACAAAAAAAGGAAGCTGAAATTGGTTTGGCCACAAACTGAGTGAAAAACCAGCCAGAAATGGGAAGAGCACAAAAAGACTGGGGACTTCTTTTTTTCCTGTGCATCACAGAAAACACTGGACCATAAATATATTTACAATAGCAGTGGAAAGATACTAATAACTTATTTATTATTTTTTATCCTTTCATAAAGAATTAATTCCCATAATAAAAGCATAAAACTGATCTTTGGAACGGTCCTTTTAAACTCCACCAGGGTGTTTAAGTGCGTACCTTCTTATGCTACAGGCACAATTCTTGGGAGACTGTTGGCATAAAGAATGTAGTAACAGATGATTAAAGCATAACCTCAAGTGTCATATATCCCTTGGGGAGCAACTTATAAGAAAGCCCCTTTAAGTGTAGGTAAGAGTGTACTTCTATCATTTATTGTAGACAAGTGTTAAGATAGTGTGTGGGTTTGTCACAAAAGTCTTCTCACTAGATCATTCTGTTGACTGTTAAGCATTTGTAAGAGTTGGAACAGTCTTACCTAACTGTCATAGATTGCAAATGCAGACTCAAGCTGCCTTGTATTGAGGCCCACTTATAATATGCATTTTCTAGCAGAAAGCCACCTAAGTGTATCCACAACCAGGCCAACTTGCAGGCACAGTGATATTATTCTGGGAGGATATATACATGGACTGTACGTTGTGCATCCTTATTTTAGGGACTAAGCCAGAGTTGTTGGGGTGAGGGATATTTGTGTATATGTTCAACTGCATCACTTCCCTCATAATCTCAGCTATTTCTCATGCATGACTTTTCAGAGAACACTCTTCGATTATACCAGCAGCAGAACACAAGTCTACATGGGCTTGTTCCATGTTCAGATAAACAAAAGTTGCCTAAAAGTCAACAGTTCAGTATAACCTGTGCTGGGGGTTGATGCTACTTTTTTTCTTTTTAATGACTGAATTCAACATCAGTGAATTATATTAGCATCCTTACAGTGCCTGAAGAAGCAACTGTGGTCTTATGCCATGGCCAATTTTAATTACAAGGCTTTGAAACCCACATTCTAGCAAAATGACAAGAACCAAGTGCCAGCCAAGTGCCAGCCTGGGAAGGACAGCAGAGTGAAAGCTCTAATCCGTTAAGTGTGTGCAAAGCACCCAAGTTCACTGAATAGTCCTCAACTCCCAAGACACACGCCTGTGGTTGGAGGGCCTCTTTGCACTTTGATACACTACTGATTAGTTTCCACAGGAAAGGACAAAGCCCCAACCTGTGAAAAGGCCATTCAGGGACCTATGGAAAGTCATTCAAATAACCATGGCAACGGTAGAAGGTATAATACAATGCTCCCCTCCTCATATTTCTGCATATAGAGAGATAATAATTGTAGGGGTACAATTCTCCCTTCTGGCTAAGCATCCAAATACCCACTGTCACAGTCCCCTTCTCCCAGAAAAGCACAATTCCCGCAGTAATTGTTATATTAGATGTGGTACCTCCAAATCATGCATATCACCCTCTACTGCATTGCAGAGTCCACTGCTGTGGTCATAGGATAGGTCAGGGCTTTAGTTTCTGGATCTCAGCTATACCTTCAGCATGGCTGTAGTAGTACCCTGGCTTGCCCCTTGGGCCTATGTCCTAGCCCTGTATTCAGACTGTATTGAGTTCTGAAGGGATCAGACCCAACATCACACCAAAGTGCAGCCTTCTGCTAGCATCATCCCTAGCCCCAAACCAAAGAGTTGACTAGTCAACTCCTATACCCCTTTAGGCACTATTAACTTCCTACTTCCTCCTCCAAAGAGGAAGTGTGAGATTTCCTCCCAGTTCTCTACACAAACAGGTCTCCAGGATAAAGAAGCCAGCTTCCCTTTAGGCCTGACACCTAAGCAAGGTTAATGGAGGGGAGAGAATACAGACCAGGTCCTTCTTCACCACTGACATAACACTTGTGGAGCTGCTGTTCCCATAGTAGTAGAATCTGACAGTACCAAACATTCAGCAGAATAAAGGCTGGCACTGGGGCCAGATTCTATTACCCTTTACATAGCCATACAGCTGCTACTCAGCTGTATAAGTGGCATTTTTAGCACTTAGGCACAGACTGTGATTCTATTACTCCTGCTAGACTTGGTAGGGAATTCACCCAAGAAGCAGGAGACACAGGTTCTAGGTCAGGAGTTTGAACCTGACTTGCTCTGATTTCCTAGTGCAGTTCTCTAACTACTTAACCATATGTTAGACAATAAACTACTAAGAGGCTGGGAGTGTGACATGAGTAGCCCCTAAGTGCTAGAAAAAACAAAAGGCAAATAAAAAAAATCCATATTTTAGGGATTGACTTTAAAAATAAAAACCAAGATTTTTTTAAGTAAAAAAAACCCATATTTGGAGGGGGGGGAGAGGGCTGACTTGCTTTTTGGGGGATATGGCTTAAGAATTTCATTACCTGGAATTTACATGCTAAATTAAATTCTGAGAAGGCACAGAGCTTCATATATAGGTAAGGCTCAAAAAGGAACAGACGGTTAAACAGATACCAAGGCCACAGTGCTTTTCTGCGCACCTAGATTAGGTTCCTAATACAAAAACAACAAACAACAAAAAAGTAATCCCAGATCTACATACCTGCTGATTTCAGTTTTGGGCATAAATGAAAAAAAGTCAGAACCATTTTCATTTTCTGTGCTCAGAAAACAAAATGAGTCACTACTTAAAGACTGTATGATCTTTCAAGGAACTGAAATGCCTGCTTTAAAATATTTCTTTTTATTGGCTTCTCTGATGTAACTGAGGGAATTCTTGCAATTTTTTCCACAAAACGTGTCTGTGAAATACGCACATAAATGAAAAGAAAGATAATAAGCCTACCTGTTTCCTCTTTTCAGGGGGAAGAGATGGATCCCCATCCTATAAAGAGAGAGACTCGTTTTACTGTCAACTTTTTCTGAAACCAGTAACAAAATTATATTAGTTGCTAAACCTTTTACATATATAAAACATTTTCAATCCAACTTTTAAAATTGGTTCCCTGTCAAAGATTTTAACACAGATTTATTTACCTACATTGCTAAAAATAGCAAGACATTGTACAAGGGTGCTACATTGTTTTCCATAAGGGTACAATAGTTACTGTCGCATAACAATACTGCGGTTAAATTTTAAATTGAAGTATGACATACTAATCTCCTCAGGCCAGAAACTGTCTTTTTGTTTGTGCATTATATAACAACAACTGCATCATCAGTTAACTAATGAATAATAATGGAATCATGATCATACATCTAGAAATATTATTCCAAACCAGGAACTAATAATTTATACAGCAAGCATTGCATTCATAAAAGGAGCGTGCTCTTTGCAAATCTAGGTTTAATTCTTGACCAAGTTATAGAATGTTTATAAAACAACGTACAATCAGCTCTCGGTACTTCTTCTTCAGCGATTGATGTCGTTCTCGCAACTGATTGGCCATAAGCTTGTACTGGTCTCTTTCCTGTTGACATGTGTCCAGCTCTTTGGAAAGGATTAACAAAGCTTCCTTTTTGCTTTCAAGCTTCCTTTTACACACCAGATACTAAAGGGGTGAAAAAAAGAAGGTTACTGTACAAGCTGCTTACAAGCAGTGCTGGACTGAACAGCCATTTGTCATCTATTCAAAAACAGGATTTTAAGAGTAGTTGTTTTGGGATCAAAAGTTTGCCTTCGTGAGCATCTTTCCAAGAGAAAACTGAAGCCTTTAGTATGCTTGGATTACTGGGAAGACAGAGAATCCTAGGATTCTCTTAGGGCCAGATTCTCTCCTGTTATTTAGGAAAAGAAGTCCCAATAGTTTAAAATTGTAGTTTGAAATCTCTGGTCATTTCCACCCCCATCCCTTCCATAAAAAAGTCCAGTAAAATCCCCAGTACCTTGGGGAACAACTGTAAGAAAGAAGCTTTGACAGAGGCCCTTTGCTTCTTCATTAACCCCATGTTCCCTGGGAACCATGCCTGGTATGTAACCATGTTATCAGCAGCTCCCCCAGCTTCAACAATATATACCTTAAAAACCACCCTGAGTCAAAGAAAGGAAAAGAATGGTATGCACCATAAGCATAAGACCCTAGACCTATTTCTGATTCAATCTAGTCTGGTACATTCATGAAAGCTCACTGTAAATAAAAACAAATCTTTTATAGTCAGGGATAACAATCAAAGCTTCCCTAGCAAGTCAGCAAGACAGGGGACAAAATAAAAGTTTTGCCAAGTCACTCAGCAACTTGAAGCAAAAATATCACAAGGGGCTTACACAGGATATGAAAAGAAAAGTACATAAGTGCCAGATGTGGCAGTCCTTTCCTGAACTCCTGCTATGCCATTCTTCCTTGCTTGGAAAGCCAAGGAGCATAAAAATACAGTGATGTACAGAAAAAACTCAAGCTGACCCAGTTACCTGAAGCAAGATAACAGTGCATTAGACATGGCACTCAACAAATGCCAACACAACCAGCTTTCCTGTAGGGTTAATCAGCCTGAACAGAGCACCATGGTCACTTGTACACATGACAGAGGTTTAGTTCCCCAAATTGAAACAGTGGGTTTTTAATTGCAATAATTAAAAACCCACTGTTTCAATTTTGGGGCTTCCATCATTGTTAGTGAGGAATCCAATCCTACGTGTTTTGGAGGAGGGGTTTGCGGAGCCTGCCCGTGTCTCCCCTGGGACAACCTGGGTGGGCTGCTAGTAGACAGGTGGTGCCTGGGGGGCACCACCATCATGGAGGGACGGTCTGGGTGCCCCACAGCTCAGAGCCCGCTGGCAGCATTCCCCATGGCCATGAGATAGGCAGGGAGGAAAAAAAAAGGATCAGGCCCCTCCCCACCAATGAAGCCTGCATAGGGAAGAGTTGGATCTGGCAGGTGCAGCCTGCAAGCTGGGGCAGCACCCATGCAGCTAGCACCCCACCTGGCCAGTCCCAGGTGGCACCGCCACTGCTACAGAGGGAAGGACCAGGCCCCCACTACAGCTCAGAGGCTACATGGCCCAGCAGCAGCTAGCATGGGCAGGCTCAGCTGAAAACAAAAGAGAAACAAAAACCAAAAAAAAGCAGGAAGGTACCTGATCCTTTTTTTTTTTCCCTCTTCACAGAACCTGCCTGCCTCTCTGGTGCCTG